TCATCGTAGATAGCCATTTTACGAGAAACGTAAACAATCGTCGTACAATCGTGTGACCACAGAAAATTCTTAAAGCCGACAACCCATTACGTCAACAAAAATACGTAAACCCCCTTATAACTGTAAACCCTCAACTTCTATAATCGCAAAATTATATAACAAATACTTGTTCACGATAACCCGTTTCCGAGAACGTTACAGATTTATTAAAGTTCATTTTCCCGGTAGAGCAAAGCGTTAACGAGTCGAAAAATCGATTGGAGCAAAGAGATCGATAACGGATCAGAATCTATAACCAGTAACAGAAAACGCGATCGGTTGATTAATTTCGTAGCCGATGCCCGCGCATACGTTCCCTGTCGTCGAATTTCACGGTGCTGGACAGACGGTAATCGTTTCATTTGCCGCGATTCGTTTGACACGATGTAATCCGGTCGCGTTGCGAGCTCGTCTGTCGCGTTAATTATAAAGTTCATTAGCGTTTCCCGACTGTATGACGTTTAGGCACCGCCGGCGAGTACGCATTTTTGCCGAGCAGACTGCGCAGCATCGATCCGTAGCCAATTTTATTTATTCAAAGGGCCTTGACGCGGTTGGACTTGTTACGAATTTACTCAGGCCGAAATCAGGCACGCGTGACACGTTACTTAGGAATTAATTCACCACCGCGAATAAAAGATACATCCACCTTTTTGACTGTTTGCATAGACTTTTCGTTGGATAATAAACTAGTAGTTCGTTCTAAACGAATGTTCGATTATTTTAACTCGTTTTTCCAGAAGAGACTCATGGTCTTCTTTGGAGGGTGGTTTTTTATCAAATTCCTTTATCCTGCCGCCCTCTGTCTTTCGCTCCTCATCAAAATTTTTCCGGAGGGAAATATTCCTCTCCCATCGACGGAGAAAAATGCCGCTCCTAGTTTCCGAAATAGAGGAGAGATGGCGGAGCGTCTAGTTTCCGAAGCCGATAATGCAGTTACCTTTTCTCTTCGTCCCTCGAAAATTCCTCCCTCCGGAAAATGCCATAACCGAGTAAAACTGTCGTCCTTTGATTTTCCATAATTATCGACGAATTGATCGAGAAAGAAATAGACCGTACGCTGCACGGCTGCAGAGGAAGCAGCAATTGAGTGCATCTTCGGCCACATGCATCAAGTGGCTTGTAAACTGCCCTTAAATTTGCCTGCTTTAAGCGAGGTAGCTGCGCGGAAAAATCTATGACCCGGCTTAAAAGGCGCCGCTTCTAATTGCTCGCTACGTTAAAGGTAGTTAAAGTAAGTCTCTGGAAGGGATGCAACCGTTTCCCCGAATAAAAAGAACAATAAGAGGGGTGGGTTCGAGGTATTTCCCGGATTCTGCATTCTCCGGGAAACGAGCGGAACGTAAACCCTTGATGCGATTAATTGCGCTCGAGTTTTTCGCGAATTCCGTAACTTCTCCTTTTTAATTCGATTCGCTCGTTTTTACGCGTCACAACTGGGTCCCCGGGAAACCGTACACACGCGAAAAAGCGCATTAAAGCAATTTGCAGAGAGGAAATTCACTCCTGAGCCGCAATTTTCATGAAGCAGGAAAAAGACGGAGAAGAAAAATAAAACAAGCTGCAGTAGCTTCGTAAAAGAGGGTGGGTCGAGTCCGATGAAATTTATAATTTGCCAAAGTTCCTCGTGGCGAGGGCGATAATGGGGCCCGGGGTTGCTTTGGGTCTAGCCTGGTTCCTTTTTAAGTTTTAAATAGTTTCCCGCGAGTTTTAATTAGGAAATTCATCCCGCCACCCCATTCGCCTCTATTACGCTCGAGCTCGTCCCGAAGACAGGCTGCTGAACGGACGGGCGGTGAAAAAAGAGTAACGATCGTCGTTTTTCAGTTAACACCGGGGAAAATTGTAGCGAACTTCTAACGAGTATTAAAACACGAACTTCTCCTCGAGGAAATATTGTTTGTACGAGGCTATTACCGAACGACGAACAAAGGCCACGTCGTTTAGGCGTCTACGCTTTTTCTTCTGGACACTCGTTCATGGCTGTTGGTCGACTGGAGTTCGCTTTTTTGCATTCGAGTTTAATTACAACTTAAAGCTACTGATCTCTCTTTATATTCTACTTGGGAAAAGTACCGATGTTTCTAGTATGACCAGCTGCTGAGGGTGAAATTTTATTCCCTTTATGGATCCATCGTAAGTCGAGTTATTGACCGAGTTTGTATCTTTAAGAATAATAGCTCTTGTACACTTCGTAGGGAAAGGCTGGTGTGATCGAAGATTTCGTGAAGGTACAATTGTATCGTGTACCAACGACAGAAAGTTTCTCGGTCAGTCGCGATAATCGGAGAGATCGTACTCCTTGCAAGCGAAAAGTAACGCGCAGTCTTCATTGTATTCCGTGTGGCCGGTAGCATCGATCGTACTTTTTGCTTCACCCCTTTGATACGGCCCAGTCGGAGAAGCATCACCCTCCCATCGCCGTCACCCCAGCCTGGCCGTTATTGCAGCCACCCCTCCAACAACCCCATTCGCCGTTTACTTTATTCTTATCTGAAATACTGGAACGGCGAAGGTGGTCGAGAAGTTCCCTTCTCTCCTTTCTTCTCTCGAAACGAAAAACCCCGGGAAAGAAACGAAAGAAAGGTGGGGATGACCTTCTTGGTGGGGACTCTAAGGGGTGGATCTTTTCTCTTGAGCATTCAAAAATTTTCTATGTAGACTTTTAATTAAATTTTGGCTAGAAAAACGATTAAGGATTTTCAGATGCTTTTTACGAGTATTTTCACCGAATTTACGAGCGCGCCTAAGGTCACTCTTTATCGCCGGTACTTTTTACAAGCGCGTAAAAGAGTCGAAAGGAGTTTTTAGTAGTATACGCAACCCCTCGGTTTAATGATCCTTGAATTTTCGTTAATTAAGAACCCCCGAGCTAACATTTTCGAAACCCTTGTTTCACTTATCAATGTGTGAGTTTCTACTTTTTTTATGCGTGACCCAAATAACTTGGTGTTCGATATACTTCTCTTTTATAATTAGCGAAAAGTTTCCGATATACTTTCCGAGATTAGTAGCTAGTTATAACAGTTAGTTAACAGTGATCTTTGACCAGGGTTTATTTTTCAATTGTCCCGATGAAAGATTAAAAAACATTGAACATGTAGATTGCGAACCTTAGGTACATCTGTTCGTACCTGACCCTTGCTACTTTAACTACATTATCCTTCTTTTAAAGACTGTCCCTAAAGAAGTAAATGATGTTAGCATATTTTTTAGAAGAGAATTAAAACATTTCCTCTGTAGTTGACGAAAGACGGTGTCTGGTAAGCTTGTAGAACAATCAGAAAGGCTTTTAAATGTTAGACAAATGTAAGACAAATGTTAGACAAATGTAAGACAATCAAATGTTATTTGTCCATCGTAGAAGAATCAGAACAGTCAGAACAGTTTGTAGAACAATCAAAAAGACTTACAAATGTTAGACAAATTTGAGACAATCAAATGTTAGACAAATGTTAGACAAATGTGAGACAATCAAATGTTATTTGTCCATCGTAGAAGAATCAGAACAGTCAGAACAGTTTGTAGAACAATCAAAAAGACTTACAAATGTTAGACAAATGTGAGACTATCAAATGTTAGACAAATGTTAGACAAATGTAAGACAATCAAATGTTATTTGTCCGTCGTGGAACAATCAGAACAGTCAGAACAGCTTGTAGAACAATCAAAAAGACTTATAAATGTTAGACAAATGTGAGACAATCAAATGTTAGACAAATGTTAGACAAATGTAAGACAATCAAACGTTATTTGTCCATCGTAGAACAATCAGAACAGCAAAAAGACTAAAATGTTAGAAAAATGTAAGACAATGTTATTCGTCGTGTTCTTCAACCGTGTTGTTTCCCTCCTTTTTCCTTTCCCTACATAACTTGTTCCGTACGAAAATTCACGGCAAGAGGTAGTAAGAAGTAGTGACTCGGTTTACGGTCACGGAAACACTCATTTGCGAGAGCAATTAGCAAAATCGAGCGCGAAGAGACGTATAGTCGATGATTTTCGACGCTGTGGTCGTTGGAACGCGATCGGCGGATAATCGAAAAGCCAAGCGACGGGAAAATTGCGAACGGAGGGTGACCAATCGTCCGTGAAAATTGAAAAACTATCCGGATCGGGACGAAGGAGCGTCGAAGTAGCGGGGGTACGCGCGAGTAACCGCTAATGTCGACGCGTTGGATGGCCATGGCGTTTCTGGTTACCCATTAGCGTCATTTGTTAGCTGCAGATAAAACTGGCTACAATTAATCATTAGTTAAATAAGCGAATCGTCGATTCCACTCCGTTCTTGATGAAATTTAACGACAAACGGCCAACTAATTGCCGTGTAATTAAATCAATAAACTGTCGCGCTCGCTGACCCCGTATCATCCCCTCCCTTCTGTAACTTTCAATCGCGGTGTCATCGATACGTTTCATGGAGATATAATTTATTAAGATTCTCATTTTATTTTTTTACAAGATGGCTAGCATTTACAAGATGGCTATTTGTATTAGGGACAGCACGCAATCTACAAATTGCCAGCACATAAGATATAATTTATTAAGATTCTCATTTTATATTTTTACAAAATGGCTAGCATTTACAAGATGGCTATTTGTATTAGGGACAGCACTCAAACTACAAATTGCCAGCACATAAGATAAAATTTATTAAGATTCTCATTTTATATTTTCACAAAATGGCTAGCATGTACAAGATGGCTATTTGTATTAGAGACAGCACCCAAACTACAAATTGCCAGCACATAAGCTGTCTCACAGAAGGGTGAGACCTTTAACGTCGTTTACGCAGTGGGTTAACTTTTGCGAAATTTTATCCAAAGTTAATTTTATCCCGCGAGACGGGGAGCGAGAGGGGAAGCAACAGCTGCTGTTCAACCCTCGGCAAAGATTTTGGAAGCCTCTTTCGAGGGACGCTGGTCAGACGTCCGTGTTTTGCATACCGGTCAAACGCGTTCGTAAGGTCGCTTGTTCTGCGTATTTATACCGTATTCGCTCCGCACTCGGCTTCAGTGTCGTCTCGTCCTTTCGAGGGTCGTTTAATCACCGGACTACCGCTTAACGCGCGTAATTAATGTATCCGCGTGTCCCGCGAGCGTCTGCGAATTCCCCGAAACATTAATTTGCACTCAGTTTTCCGCGAAGGCTTTCAGAAATCCCGTCAATCGAAAAGATTCTAAAGACGAGGGTTCTTCGATCGAGGGTTCCTTTCGATCGGTTTCTTTTAAAAGCCACCGACGAGTTTTTGCGCGGAGGTAAAAGTATCTCGTTACGAAAGGGAAAAACAGAAACGACCGGTGATTTCTTGCGTACATTCGCGTTACTGCCCTCATCCTTTCAGCCCCGTTTCCTTTACCTTTCTCTCCGTCTCTCTCCGAGTCTTCTTTTTCCATCCTTTTCGAGCGGCTGTCTCGCCGCACCTCGCCGCGTTCGAGCAATAAAAACAAAGACGAGCTTCCTCGAGAAAGCTCGGAGGGAAATACCTGATGCTAGTCGGTCAATAGCTTGCTTCGTACAATCGCGGAAAAAATAGAGGAAAAGGAATTTCGGCGGACGAATGAGAAGCCTGCTTTCGAGATTAAACGAGGCTTCCACCGGGAAAGAGTCGAATTAGCTACGTTTTGCAGATTCGGATATTATAGAGATTGAATCGGAAGTTCGTGTTTAATGAAACGATGAGGAAGAGTTTCTAATATTGTATCGACTTCGTTCGACTAGAAAATTCATCTTTTATAACTATTCTATTATTAACCCTTTGCAATACTGCAGTACGGCTCGACATTTATGTAGTTTCATACAATTCAGACAAGTAAATATATTTTCATTTGCTAGATATAATAAATGGAAATTATATTTGTCAATTATATTGCCAAATTATATTTGTCAAACATTCATATGTTCACAATTATATTTCTCTGCACAGTCGCAATTTTATTAAGACTTTTCTCTGTATTGTAATTTCAGTAGTTAGTAAAATAAATGAAGGAGCAAAGGACAGTTTTGGACACCGTTAGTTATATTCGCAATTTGAACCAACAAATCGAGTTATTAAATTGGAAAATCAATTTTCACACCGAATGTTTTAAGTCAACTAATTTCTCGTTTCTCGTTTGCAGGCCTAATGGCAGACATTTTAACTGCCCATTGCCATCGAACTCCCGAACTGGTTCAGGAGGGTGTACACCCTCGATAACCGTCGAAAATATTTGCAGCCATTTTTCGCCCCACCAAGGAGAGCCCTCTTGAGAAGGTTGGGAGAGCAGGGATTAAAACAATGGAAAAAGTACCGCCATCTTTAATTCCGTCGACATTCGCCCCCGAGCTAAGACGAAAGAGAAAGAATACGTGATCGATAAATACTTCTCTGTTTGTTCAAAGGCGGATTTCTTTGGTTCCACGCTGTGCTTCAGGTAAGCTCATTCAAATCTGTTAGCGTTCTATTAAATTTAATAGAGTTTTGATGCATTGATCAGTATGGTAGCGATCGTGAACGCGGTAACATCGATTTAGGATATTTCGTAGAAATAGTTAGGATGCTGTGATTGTAGAAATAGTAGACATAGATTATAGTTGTATACTAATATAGTGATAATCATTCTATAGCAAACGTAGCATAAGTAAAAGACTGACCGCTAACTTTTTGTTTTTAGAATATTGAGAGATATATTAATGTTATATTTTATAGAGTGTATCGATATTCTGATACAATTTATCGATAGGCACATGGGCCAGTTTGGGCCTAGTTGTCTTTATTCTAATAAAAAAAAAAAATAGTTAGGATGTTAAGATTAGAAGAATTTAATTTAGAAGAATATTTGTATATATTATTCTTGAATTTCAGATCGGGCGTTTCGAGGTGGGTCGAGCTTTTCCAAGGGGATGAAATAAAGCGATTAGGAGGCAATTATCGATAAAAGTGGAAGTCTTTTCCTGGGAAAATCGAAGTCATCTTCGGAGCACTTACCATTCGACGAGAAGACAGCACTGCGAGAGGAACCTGCATTACCAGCATTATCCACAGAGCTGCATTCGATGCAACGTTCAAACTGTAGCATTCTGTATATATTTTATAAGAAATTATACTATGTAATTTAGTATTAAGTTCATGTAAAACAAGGAATATGAATAAAGAAAAGGTAAATTGTAAAAAAGCGTAATCATTAAAAAACCTTCATTATCTTAATCCTTATCCTTGGACCTTTCACGTTACTATAGAATTAAGAACTAAAAACATTCATGAATTCGTGGATTTGTCAAAAAAAATTTTGAGTTCTTGTGCCACCTCCTTGAATATCATGTTCTCCTGGTACCAAAAGGCAGATTTTAAAGTTTGCTTCTGAGAATTCCTGGAAATGACGTCATCAAAATTCCAAGAAATGGCATTTGTGCCACCTCCTCGCAACTTATGTTCTCCTGATACATCAAGTATCATGTTCTCCTGATACCAAATTCTAGAATCGGGAATCTGGATTATTAGACTTGATTTCGATAATTCTTGGAAATGACGTCATCAAAATTCCAAGAATTAGGACTTGTGCCACCTCCTCAAGTATCATGTTCTCCTGATACCAAATTCTAGAATCGGGAATCTGGATTATTAGACTTGATTTCGATAATTCTTGGAAATGACGTCATCAAAATTCCAAGAATTAGGACTTGTGCCACCTCCTCAAGTATCATGTTCTCCTGATACCAAATTCTAGAATCGGGAATCTGGATTATTAGACTTGATTTCGATAATTCTTGGAAATGACGTCATCAAAATTCCAAGAATTAGGACTTGTGCCACCTCCTCAAGTATCATGTTCTCCTGATACCAAATTCTAGAATCGGGAATCTGGATTATTAGACTTGATTTCGATAATTCTTGGAAATGACGTCATCAAAATTCCAAGAACTGGGACTTGTGCCACCTCCTCAAGTATTATGTTCTCCTGATACCAAATTTTGGAGCCGGTGACTTGGATTTTTGGAAATTTACTTCGGCAATTCCTGGAAATGACGTCATCAAAATTCCAAGAATTGGGATTGTGCCACCTCCTCAAGTATCATGTTCTCCTGATACCAAATTCTAGAATCGGGAATCTGGATTTTTCGACTTGATTTCGATAATTCTTAGAAATGACGTCATCAAAATTCCAAGAATTGGGACTTGTGCCACCTCCTCAGGTATCATGTTCTCCTGATACCAAATTCTAGAATCGGGAATCTGGATTTCTCGACTTTTCAAATTTTTCCCAAAATAATTCTTGGAAATGACGTCATTAGAATTCCAAGAAATGGCATTCGTGCCACCTCCTCACATATTATGTTCTCCTGATACCAAAACCCAAAATCGGTGGCTCGACTTTTCAAATTTTTCCCAAAATAATTCTTGGAAATGACGTCACTAGAATTCCAAGAATTGAGGTTTGTGCCACCTCCTCGCATATTATGTTCTCCTGATACCAAAACTCAAAATCGGGTACTCGATTTATCAAAATTTTTCCAAAATAATTCTTGGAAATGACGTCATCAAAATTCCAAGAATTGAAGTTTGTGCCACCTCCTCGCATATTATGTTCTCCTGATACCAAATTTCAAAACCAGAATTTTGTATTCGAACTAAATTTTTCAGAATTTCATGCCACCTCCTCGCTGCTTATGATCTCCTGATACATAGATTTCAAAGTTGGAATTTCAGATTTTTAGATACCTCTTCGCAACTTATACTCTCCTGATATCGCATTTTTAAATTGTTATCCTTGATTCGAGATACCTTCGTGCCACCTCCTCGCCACTTATGTTCTCCTGATACCGAAGTTTGATTCCTCAATATTTGATATTTTTTAAATGATTTCGAGCCGGAATATTTTGAAATAATTACGAGGCAATGGTATAATGTTTTATCGACAGAAGGGATTTTTAAAGGAAAGGACTTTGGGAATTTCTTATAATGAATAGACAGTGAATCCTTTTAATTTTTTTTATTGAAACTTTGTAGTAAAATACAACTTACATAATGAGACTTATAATTAAATATACATAAAGTGCAACTTACATAATAAAACTTATAACTAAATATACATAAAATACGACTTACATAATAAAGAATATAATTAAATATGCATAAGATGCGACTTATATAATAAAGAATGTAATTATATATGCATAAGATACGACTTACATAATAAAGAATATAATTATATATGCATAAAATACGACTTACATAATAAAGAATATAATTAAATATACATAAGATACGACTTATATAATAAAGAATATAATTAAATATACTTATAGTACAACTTACATAATTAAATACATAGTTTCTTATATAACTAGTGACTTTAATTGTTAGTTTTGTATCTTCAGTTAAATATGTTACACTTTTCTATAATTGTTAAGTAACTTATACATAAAATACGACTTACATAATAAAGAATATAATTAAATATGCATAAGATACGACTTATATAATAAAACATATAACTAAATATACTTATAGTACAACTTAAATAATTAAATACATAATTTCTTATATAACTAGTAACCTTAACTAAAGATACAAAACTAACAATTAAATACGTTACACTTTTCTATAATTGTTAACTAACTTATACATAATGAAATGCTAAAGCTAGTACTAATATTTAGTAACGCATATGCTGTTTGCTGTTGCATTGATCCACCGAATGTAACCTGTAGAACTTATGGAGCTGAATGTGATTGAGTCGCAAGTTGTGTTACTGAACGGACAATTCTGTAATGTAATAGAGTGGATAATGGTTATTAACAATTCTAATGAAAGAAGTTAATAAGTTAACTGTCAAAACTATAAATACTTGCCTTGATAGCGAGCAGGATGAATGGTTGCTAATGTGGTATCAGGAGTTATAAATCTTTCCGTCTTGAATACCGAAGAACGAATAAATCAATCAGCGATGCGTTGTTCCTTTTGTTCAAGGCATCTTGGTCGTCGTCACTCGTAAAAATATCCAGGCATAGTTCTACGTCTTATTCACACGGGATATTCTGCAGCGATTTAATAGCAAACTGGAAAAGAGAAAAATTTATTGTATGATAACAAGTTTGAAAATGTAGAAGCATTTTGGGAGCTTCATTTTTATGTGTGATTAGAATTTTATATTTTCGACCGCCCTATATATTAGAATATTATAGCTAGCGCCATCTAGCAGACCAGGGCGGAATTATCTAATCGAACAATTTTGCTTTTGTTAATAACAATCAATTTTCAAGAGTTTTGTATGCTTATGATTATCTTAGACGTCGACAAAATGACCTAAGGTTACGCTCGAAGTTCATTTACAAACTGAAAGGGTGAAAGAAATGCATTAAACTTTATTACATGGACTATAAAATGTGTCGCCATCTAGCGGTGAAAGGTGGAAACCAATGGAACTGAATGTCATAAATAAATTTTGCATTTACTGATATTTGCAGCGTACTAATATCTTCAGAATATTCCAAAATTATTGAATACTGCTTTCCGGAGTGTATTATCATGTTCCAGACTTGAAGAGTCGATGTTAAATAAACTGATATTTTACCGACGCACGTACTATATAATACCGACGAAATAACACACCAGCGCCATCTAGCGGCCAGGTATCAGCAGCTACTCCTGGTATCAGGATCGCAGGAAAGCAAAAGAGGTATACGAAGAAGGTATCCCTCGCAGTGACGCGCATGCGCAATACTGCTATCTATATTCCATAAAAAGAAAAACTAATTATTCGAAACACAATTCATCAAATTTTATGACTACAAACTAATTAGTACTCTGCCTATTTTCTCGTATTGCATTTGTCTAAATTTTTATTTACATTAATTAATTATTAATATATCATTACAAGCGATGTAACTGTGTGATCTATTCATTCATACTATGTAATAAATAATCATACTCACAGAAGAAAATTTCGGTCACCACCATGTTGCATCTGGCGTTTCGACACTGTTCCTGGTATCAGGCGCGCAGAACAGTGAAGGAGGTATACGGAAGGTACAAGTGGGAGTGCGCGCAGGGAACTGGACTGACGTCACCCACGCAGCATGGCGTCGCGCATGAGCAGTAGACTGGGGAGGCACCGCCCAATTCAGCATGGCGTCGCGCATGAGCAGTAGAGTGGGTGGCTCCGCCCAATTCAGCATGGCGTCGCGCATGCGTAGTAGAGTGGGTGGCTCCGCCCAATTCAGCATGGCGTCGCGCATGAGCAGTAGAGTGGGTGGCTCCGCCCTATTCAGCATGGCGTCGCGCATGCGCAATGGAATAGCGGCGCACGCATACTAGCTAGGCTGCTTCACCTCTACCACGCATGCGCGGTATACCTTCGTATACCTCCTCTGCTATTCTGTTATCCTGATACCAGGAGCAGTTTCGAGTACCATCCGCTAGATGGCGCTGGCTGTAATATCTATGGATACATCGTATTATAGTTCTGTCGTCTTCAATCTTATATATTAACTACTTAGTTTTCTAACTTAATAAACAATATGCAATATTCGTTAATCTAAAGGTGTCAATATTTATTACTGTACTGATGATTTACTGTACCGTCAATAAATATAAAAATTATTCTCAAAATGTAGTTCTATCAGTTTCCACCTTTTACCGCCAGATGGCAAGGCTCCTTATGCTTCGAGACGCCCCTGTAGACTGACAACCAGGACCGCCAGGAATAAATTACGTTCACATAATAGCCTCGTGCGTTTGACCTTATCAGACTACACATGGCATTTTTCAATTCGAAATATAAGAGAAATAGATATCTACTGAATATTTTCTTTCCCGTTCCATTATGCAAGCACAGTTTATCTGCGCGTACACTAGTACCTCCCAAGTTAACAAACAAGGATTTTATGATTGATATACATGTAATATACTCTGAGATTATCTGATCAATAAATTATTAATTGACACATAATTATACTTACCCGTGTTTGCAGTGATCGATGTAATTTATTCTCATTAAACAGCGCTCCGTGTGTTTCTAATTAGATGGGACGTCAAAGTATCCAATCAGTTCTAGCTACACTTTGTTGAATATGTATGACCTACATTGTACGTTTTGAAATGCCTGTTTCTAAGTGTTGCACTTCCTACGCTCCGTTTTACGCGATTAATATTCATTATCGATCATGTAGCAGCGTTTCAAGAGATATGACTTCGATGACAATTCCGAATAAAGTCGAACGAGCCTCGTGAAACGTTACAAGCTACTTCCTGTTGTGTCATCTTCCAGATGACTGACATTCGACACGTTACAGTAATTACCGCCCCGTGTTAATAAAAAATTTGGTCCGATATCTTTCGTCGATTAACACGGGAGAGCAAGTCTCTTTAATTTATATGCTCTTCTTCCAATTATATTTTTGCTTAACTGTTGATCAACAATAACTGAATGGACTCACGCTCAGAGTAAAAATAATAATTATCGATTGCTCACGAGTTCTGCGTCTAACGCCAATTATACAACGATCGCCTTTTGGCGACCACTGTCGAAGTTCAAGTGCAGCGCGATAAAAGACAAACATAATGTTTGGTCGCGAAAAGATAGTGTATCTTTTCTGAAACCACTCGAGGCTGAATTTCGAGGAAATAGAGTCACAATGGATCTATTTGTGAAGCAACGTTACAAAGAAACGGTGACCGCGTTGTACCCTTTTTTCAACGACTGCAGTGAACGGCGAAGGATAGGCGAGGTGAAAGAATTGAAGCGGATAATCGAAGGTAACGAGGGAAATCGATCACTGAAAATAATTCGGCTGAATATTACTGCAAGTAATATTATTACTGGACAACATCTAATATCTCAAAGTACCGTTGTAATTTTTATTGTTTCTATATTACCTCTTTCTTTCCAACGCAATCCAGGGTCGAAGGTGTAACAGCAAAGTTCAGCACCCAGGTAGAAGACAATAGACGCTCCAGGTCAAGTAAACGTGCACGTCAATCGTTTAAATGTTAAACTTCTGTGTAATAGATTAACCATTCTAAGTGTCTTCCATAGACGCAAATTCAATGTGATCAAGAAAATTACGAGCTTGTAGGCAAATTAATTTTCTACTCGAATCACGGTGTTTTATGCAAATCGCGCTATTAAATGTGACACGTCCCTGCACGTGTCAATCGACTCGAATCTACTAAAACGCATATATTTTCGATTTAGATCCGGAGATAAGATTTACCGTGTGGGAATGTGTCTACTAAATGTCGGACCATAATTTAAGTCTCGCAACATTGCGTTGTATCTGAAACGGAAATCTCGTGGGGTTACGAAAAGTAATATGAAAATTCATGAATCGAACGACCTTAAAGTTTCCAAAGTTTCTGGGAGCGTAATCGGTAATTAGTCCAGTTTACGGGAATGAACGTTTTCGACATTTATATAAATCTTCTTTTAACCAGCAATTTTTATTCGGCGAAGGTGAGCCTGTCGAGTGACCGGTAAACTTGTTTTTCTTGCGAAACGAGATGGAAAAAGACATAAAGTCGTTTAGAATATTCTCGAGGTGCGGATAAAAAGTTACAATAAATACAAGTATCTTTACAAGTTCCCGAATAATTCTGACGACTCAATGCTGCTCATTCTTAGAAATAAACTAGAATCCCTAGAAAAAAACTGAAGCATCTCAAGGTAGATCAGTTCTGAATTCACCTGAAACGTCAGTGCGATTTGCGTCAAAGAAAGACAAAGAAAAAAAGAAGGAAAACAGTCCGCATTTCCTACACAATTCTCGTGAAAAGAAGAAAAGGAGGAAGTTTAGCGAGAAAGATAATTTGCATGAAATGATCGTAAAAGTACGACGCATATAGGTTGTTGAAAAGCCATCAGGATCGAGTTGCAAAGGACAAGGAAGAAGTAATCTATGGACCTAATTAATTTCTTTGCTGCATTCGCTTGTGCAATTTTAGTAATATTCAACAGTTTCTTCTTGTTTGCTTACTTACTCCATGAATTAATTACTCCTCGCGTTTTACATTAATTACTGACCTGCTAAACGAGAATCGTCGACTTTTACGACGGACATTAAATTAATTTGTCTTTGACAGCGCTCGACTTTGACTATCTTGTTAATATATTTTTTCCTCGGTTTTCCGGGTAATAACACCTGGAAATGTTTCTGATGAATTAAATTAACTCCTTCCCGTACTTTGACGAGTCCCACTCGTGACGCACTTACAGCTCGAATGTGACAAACCTTGCTCAAACTTTGAACATTCTTCAATTCGAAATTTAGGTCCAACTATAAGTTGCATTATCAAGGATCCCTGAATATAAAATACAACATTTTAATTTTCTTTGTTCATTTTAATGTTATAACCCTGAATAGTTAGTCTCGACTGACGCATTTGTTAAATAAATGGCACGGGAAGGGGTTAACGAAACTTTATGTAAAATGAGATAATGTATGCGAACAACGGACACATTTAATATAAATATAATTATTGAAGCAACCTACATCGTCACACAGCTATTAAAGTGTTAATATATTTTGTTATAACGTCGCTGTAGTGCAATGTCTTCTACAAGAATTATAAACGAAGACTACTTGTGATTTATCCTTGATCGAAGGAAACAAAGTGAGAAACCTGATGGACGGCTGCGTCCATCTTGTCGAGTTTATAGCCGCATCGAAAATACTGTGATAAACCAACATTTTCTACGTTCGTTACAATTATATCACCGGTAGATATTTCTTATTCATTTATTCCGTTTGCCCGACAATTAAACAGAGTTGTACTGAAACCTTCGATTCACGAACGTCTTTCCGGTGAATTATTTATAGTGCGTTAGCAATTCTTGAATTTGATTAACTCGATCAATGAAAGGGTCTGAAAACTCATAGAAGATATTAGAAAGAAAGTAATTTTATTTACAAGAAGGAAGACCGAGATGTCAGCTATAAAAGCTACAAGCATTAAATAATAAAGTTCGAGTCTTTAATCTCAAATTGACCTAGAAAATCTCAAAGCAACGCTATTTATGTTCAAGTATTGTTCTGTAAATTTGGGCTTGCGATTACAAAATTTGCTAGCATCGCTAATTATCTTAGATTAATAATCGATTAACAGTTTCTCAGTTGTTTACATTAATCTTAAAGTCTGTGTGCTACACGTTACTGCAATTACCAAAACTAAAATTTCGAATCACCAAACAAGTTATTTCTATGACAAGAAATAGCTAATTAACCCTTTGCACTCAAAGGTAATTTGACTGTTCACAAAACTCAGTTAAAAAATTAAATGTATTCTCTTGAGGTTATTATTCCCCTACTAATAATTTCCACTATTGTCTGCTTCACTACGTTTATACATCACACGTGCTTGCTTCAAATTATCGTATTAAATAAAAATGGTGACTGAGAATCACCCCTCGATCGCAAAGAGTTAATTCGTACAAGTAAAACTATATTTCAGTTTCTTAATTCGTAATCAGCTATTAAAAATATCCCCAGCTGCAGTTGAACCGCGTACAACCTTAGAACTAGAACGTATTCTAAATTTAAATATTAGAATGTCGACACGGTCTCGAAGTAGACGTAGAATAGTTGTAATTTACCGAGGTAGTTTAATAAGTGCCTCGATAAGAAGCGTAATTATGCGAGGAAAGCGAGGACAAAGTGTTCGATGAACTGTCAAGGTCGTTGTATTTTTCGTGCGTAGAAATAGCAGGAACGAAGGTAAAGAAAAATGCGTGGCGAAGGACAAGGGCATAATGGAGAACGCGGAGGAACGAAAACCGGATTGCGCGGACGGGATCGGAAGGGTAAGTAACGAGCGGGAGCTGCAGCGCGCGAGTTCGAGCGGGGCGCATCGGAGGAACGCGTGCTTCCTTCGAGAACTCGCGTCGACGATTCGCATTCCGGTTCGCACGGTCTCATCGAGCTGGCGCGTAAGCGATCTCTCGATTCCGCGATTCGAAACGCTCCTAATCGGACAAAGGAATTTTTCGCCAGTGATTGTCCTGCAGACACGTAAGTATTTTCAACGTCGTTTCATTGACGGCATTGAGTGATAAGCTTTGACGTTCTGCATTTTTCATCGAAGTATTTCAATGGTAAACGATAGAGCAATTAGATTACGTGCTCGGTCTACTTCAGACAGTGAACTAGTTAACGATTCTGCGGGTCGAAATCTCCATACTCAAACTTAAATCACGGAACATTCTCCGCGAACGTGAGAGAATTTCATCGAAAGCACGTATTAATTTATCAAGCCTAAAGTTAAAAAAAGTGCGAAAAAAGTGGCTATAAAATATTTGCGCGATTGCAATTTTATCGAAATTCGTCTGGAACCGAAAAAAATGTCGGTGCAACATGGAGGATGTGCAGAACCTTATAACGATGAATATAAATGGTGTTTAACATCCAACGGCAAGAAACACAGCCGGAATAGCAAAAAGTTGTATATGTATTTCGAAGGAAAAATCTTAGGAATATTACGAGAATGTCTTTCGTAAGAAATAACCTAATTATTTATTAATAAACGTAAGGTTAAAAGTGTTTAGTATATACGTTAGTTAGAAAAAAGTATTATCTCGAGACCGTTTAGAAAGCATTTATTTATAATTTACGATGCTTCGAAGTCAATAAATTCTGCCAAACCAGCAACTTTCGACCTCGCGATAAAACTATTATTAAAATTCGCCAAAACAAAAGAGATGTATAAATTATCTTAAGAAAGTATTCGATCGCAATGTTTGTACACGCAATCTTAGAGTATTGCAAAACAGTTCATCAAAAAAATTAGTGACAACAGATAATGGATACAAACGCAGTTTACGTTGGTCATTTATTTTCATTAAACAGAAAAAGTGAGCGGCTTGTATATAATGTTCGCTTTAATCAATTCGACGTGCGGCACAAATTGCAAATGATCGGTTCATTAGACGCTGTATTCAAGCAATCATTATTGCTTAAAACGGAGAAGGATAATTAACAGATAATCATCGAATAATTTAGATTCCAGGAAGGGACCGTCGAACTATATTCTAATAACTCACGAAACTCATCGCTTAATTTCAAGGTGAACGACACGAGTCTTTTTCCTTCACAAATAAAAAACTAACTAGCCAAACAAGAACTGCCTCGTCTAAGTGGTTTGTTAACGGTGAACGAATAAGCAAGCTCCATGGAAATTTATTCGACGTTAGACAGACACGGTCCAAATAAAATCGCTCTCGGTGACGAAATTACAAAATTATGTTTCTACGAGACGGTTTAAAAAATTTTCGCCACATCAAAAAATTGATAAATCGCGAAAGCGAATTTCATAGAACTTGCTTACGATTGTTATGATTGCTACGAGACAGATTAAAATATTTTCGACAGATTAAAAAATTGACAAATCACAAAAGTAAAATTGCATTTGATAGAACTTATTGTTCACCATTATGACTGCTACGAGACAGATTAAAAAATTGACAAATCACAAAAGTAAAATTGCATTTGATAGAACTTATTGCTTACGATTACCTACTTAACTGTCCTACTTCAATTATGCTAAGATGAAAAATCGACTTCAATTTGTTAAATGTATAGGCGATAATTCAAGAGAATAAAAAGTGTACAATGAATACCTTAGGCGAATCATTAATTTAAACTTGATGTATTCATAGTTGAAGTATTGAGTTAAATATAATTAATATGTCACTGCAGAAACTGCGACGATATAACGTGCTATAATTAAAATCATACGTTAATGATAAGAACACTAGTAGAATCATAATTGCAGCTGCTTAAAAATGGCAAACAAATAGTCTGTTTTTGTTGGTTTTTTTCTCATAAAATTTGAGTTTCAGAGTTATACATCAGTGATTTTTTTTGGCATGAACTTTTCTCGTTTGAGAACAATAAGAGTATCGTACAAGAAATTGTGACAAGTGTTATACAACAAGAGCAGCTGAATTAACTATCGCGTGTAACGAAAGATAATAGTTATTACACAAAAATTGCGTAACGTCGCATGCATTTCTGTAACTGAGGAAAAACAATTTTTCTGATATTACAAACAGAGCAGCCGGAAAGTTCACGATATAATAATCGTCGTGTAACAGGCGAAAAAAACGTATCAATGCGTTATCACGATACAATTAATAGCTAGCTAGACACGTTACGATGATGCTTATTAACCAGACCATCAATCTTTTGATAGGAGCTCTTAAATTGCTACCGTATTTCGTTTCAAAAATATTTTCCTAACAATACAAGGTGGGAACTTTATTTGTTCAAGGTGAACTATTGTTCTCGTTTCAAGATCACCGACGTAAAACCTGTTCGTGCGCGATAAAACTAAAGTGTACCACCGGTTGACAAAATGGCAACAAGATAGAAATAGTTACGTGTTTCATAAATTCCGAGTGCAGCAATTATCAAGTGTTTAAATAATACAGGTTTTATGATTTCTACACGACTCGTTATACATGATTTGTCAGACATTTTTCGCGCTACGACTTTATCGCAGAAATTTCGTATACCGTGTGCGCGATAAGACGGTGAAAAGTTAAGTGGAAAGAGTAAACAGAAGTATCCTTGGCGATAGTTATCGATAATGTCGCACGCGAGGAGCTTTAAAAATGCTTTCGGTGTGGTCAGATCGCTTTGTTTCCACTCTTGACAGTATCGACGCCACTCTGTCAATTTTTTTTTCGTTATCAACTGGTTCGAGCATTCATTCACTGTTTACAATGAATTTAATTAATCGTGTTTATTGAAAGCGATGTATTGTTCGACTTTCGAATAAATTTCAGCTATCGTTGGGCGAATAATAGACTCACCGATAAGCATTCAGAGAATTCTGTCTGCAGCAGAGTAGTAGAATAGCAAAGATAGAAAATTGCATCGACACAGTTTTATCTCCGGTGGACGTGCAATTCTCCGCGCTATAATTCAGGTACCATAAAATTGCAAAATATGCAATTAATCATATCTGCACCGATACACACGTTTTTTATATTCGATTTCAACACTCTCCGTACTCTTTTTGCAGGGAATCGCTACGGAAAGAGCAACTCTAAATTCGATCGGAAGGAACCGAAGAAATTGGCAGCATGTTGCAAGTTGTTCGCTCTACGATTCGCCTAAGCTATTCCCTAAATAAGGATGGCCGAAAGTAGGATTTGAGAAAAAGTACGAACCGTGTACGCGTGTCATTGACTCTACCGAAGTTTCGCGCACAAGCATCGAAAGTTAGTAGTAAAACAAATGACACATGGACGATCATCGGCTGGAAAGTGATACCCGAATCGTTCGATCGAGAAGGAACTATTACGAGCTTCTAAAATAAAACATTGAAATCTCGTAAGAACCGATGACTTCTGTTGCGCGAGCAACTGACCCCGTTTGAAGCCTCCGAGAGAACCGTTCGCAGTCGACTGATAATATATACGCGCAGATAACGCGCGATTTAAGTGACGTTTCGTCAGCGAGAGAGCAAGCAAGAGATCCGTCGCGGCGAGTGATCTAGTCTTACTGGGTCAGACAGTTCATTGGGTCGAGATGTATCAACGAGTGGTATTGCTGAGCCTGCCGAAGGCTCAGTCGATCGACATTGAATTCTCCAACATCACTTACGAGGCGCAGTTTGGTTTCCGAGGGCCGTACAAGCAGATCCTGAAGAGTGTCAGTGGTTCTTTCAAGTCTGGAGAACTGACGGCGATCATGGGTCCCTCCGGAGCCGGGAAAACCACGCTGCTAAACATTCTAACGGGATTCAAGAACACTAAATGGAAGGGCGAAATCAATTACGTCGGAAAGGAAGGCACGCACACCTGGAGCGAGTACAGAAAGCAGTCGTGTTACATTCAACAGGACGATAAACTGCATCCGTTGTTCACCGTGTCGGAGGCGATGTGGACGGCGATCGATTTAAAAATCGGCAGAAGTCTCAGTCGAAAGGCGAAGGAGATGCTGATAGACGATATACTGGAGAACTTGGACCTCAGCAAAACGAAGCAGGTCAATTGCGGTCAGTTGAGTGGCGGTCAAAAGAAGAGGCTGAGCATAGCGCTGGAACTGATAGATAACCCACCGGTGATGTTTCTTGACGAGCCGACAACCGGTCTCGACTCCCTTTCGTCCTATCAATGCATCAGCATGCTGCGCAGCTTGGCCAAGGCCGGCAGAACGATCGTTTGCACGATCCATCAACCCAGCGCGATCACGTACGAGCTCTTCGACAACGTTTACCTGTTGTCTGACGGGAAATGCATGTACGAAGGCGCGACCAAGAACACGATTGCCTATTTCGCCAGCATCGGTCTTCACTGCCCCAAATATCACAATCCGGCGGACTACATGATAGAGGTGGTGAGCAAAGAGTACGGGAACTATAACGAGCAGTTGGCCAAATTAGCGAGCAACAGCGAGATATCATGGCGTTCGACCACGAAGAAGGAATCCATCGATCAGACGAACGAGAACAAAGCGACGGTGTTGATCCAACCACCTTCGGAACTCGAGAAGTTCTTCGTTTTGATGCATCGTTGCGCGCTTCAATTGACGCGAGACTGGACGGCGGTCCATCTCAAGATAGTTATTCATCTACTGATGGGTATTTTTCTGGGTTTGTTGTTCACGGATACCGGCGAGAACGGCAGCAAAACGATCAGCAACGTCGGACTCTTCCTAGTCAACCTAGTGTATCTCAACTACACCTGCATGATGCCTACGGTGTTCAGATTCCCCTCGGAGTTTGTGACCTTGAAGAAGGAGAGGTTCAACAACTGGTACCAGCTGAGGACTTACTATGCAGCCACGTTGATCTGTAGTGTACCCGTGCAAGTGATTTACGCTGTGATTTTCGTGTCTCCCTCTTACTTCCTCAGTCAGCAACCCTGGGACGCCAACAGGTTCCTCATGTACATGGCAGTGGCGATTCTGTTGGCGATGATATCCGAGAGTTTCGGGTTTCTGTTATGCACCATAACGAATCCCGTAAACGGGACGTTCTTGGGAGCGATTACCTTGTCTGTGATGATGGCTCTGGCGGGATTCTTGGCCCTTTACAGCCACATGCCTGCCATACTCTACTACACTAGCTACGCGTGTTACTTCAGATACGCCATGCACGGATTCGTGTACTCAGTGTACGGTTTCGGTCGAGAAAAACTGATGTGTCCGAAAAACTATTGCCACTATCGAGTACCCGAACTGCTGTTAACGGACTTGTCGATGACGGAGGATAATTATTGGCTAGATATCGTCATGTTGATTTGCAATTACGTGTTGTTCAGATTCGTTGCGTACTGCACGTTGAAAAGAAAGCTCTCTTCCGCTTGAGCCGATCGTTGCAATAGGTGAGCGAAAATTTATTCGTGAACTGTGCATCGCGAGAACATAAATTTGAACGACGATGTACGAAGAAAATGTCTGGGAGTGGTTCGGAACTCGTAATAATTGTCATGATCTAAGGTGATTGAATAAAAATTGATAAGTGATCGCACGAATGGAAATGAGCGTGAATTTTCTTGCCGATCGGAATATCGATTAAAACGAATGTATTTATGTTCTACTTAGTAATTTTCCTTACTAATGGAGCTTCGCGACTACAGTGATTTTTAATACTTACCTGTTTTGTACCAAACATTAAAAACATTTCAACGGACTTATTTTCATTCATATTCCTTACCAACCAGGTCTCGACCTAGTATTACAAAATATTGTGAGCTACTAATTACTTACATGCCTTGCGACTGTTTATAAAAACGCAAATAACAGATTTTTTCTAGAGTAATGGTTGATGCAACTGACAAGGTCGAAAGTCAAGTGCATCCGGGCAAAATCTGTGGTACGACGACGGAACGTGTTGAATTATTCAGCAGTTTGTTGTGAACGCGAAAGCGAAGTGATTCGGAACATTTAGGTATGATACTTTCGTCACGAGCGGCGCTTAAACGGTCTCTAATAAAACTAGAAAAACGATAAAGGAAATTATATTATAAAAAGCACGTTTCCTGAAAACGTTGAAAATCTGTATTACAAACCTTGATAGGTCGACATTTGTAATTAGCTTTTACAGCTGAATGGTTAGAAGCGACCAGGGCGAATACAGTCAGCTAACACTGTACTTGTCTGGCAATTAAAAGTATGTCTTAAACACTAAACGTATCTACACTATGTATACGTTCGTATCTAAGCATAATTAGGCGGCTGAAGAACAAAACTTACACCGAGACGCAATCTAAAAAGTAAAAAGACAAAACGTAAGATATTGGTGCTTCTTCTTCGTGTATCGTCTAATACTGGGGAGCGTGTAATGTACAAACGGAAGCTCGAGTGAGAAAGAAAAAAAAAAGAAAGTCAATCGAGAAGAGAAGTAAAAGAAAAATTTGTAAACAGTTCGTACAACAAAAAACAACGAAATAGAAAAAAAAATTGACAAAAAAAAAACAAACAGAATCTACAATCAGGCAACGCCGTGATTATGGAAAAAATGGCACATTTATTATATTATTAGTGATAATAATATTACTATTACGATAATTATACATTTTTTTCTTTCTCAAACGAAACGCTCTCTCGACGCACACGCTATCTCTCTCTTTTTCTCTCGCATTCACGCGCACACTCTCTCTTTCTTTCTTTCAATATATGTATAATATTCAGCTCGTGCTTCATCGATGTTAATAGAATCGCCTTTTTTTTAACAATCGTATCCGTGTCAGAAAGATGATCGTTCTCGATTATCCTTTCTTCCTTCTCTTCTTTTTTGTTTAAGGCCCGGTGTCACGCGAACTAGCCACGCCAGACCTACGTACACTTCTCGTTTAATTACATATTATACAATAATGTCGTTAGATCTAATATACACTTGTGATTTCACTCGACAATCGTGTCCCGGGCAAACGTGGGGAGTTATCGGCGTTGCCGTTCGATCGCGCGATCGTTAATTATCAATTTAATAAATCTAGCAGCAACTTGCTTTGCCAAGTTTCAACGATATGCTTTCTTTTGTTTAACGCAACGCGTGATACATGATCGATGCGAGAAGATACCATCGATCCGTGCGGTGCCGCGAGTTTCAGAGTTCGGGAAGAAAAATTGCCAACAACTCTGGAACTCGTGAATCGCGTAAGTAACGATCGATGCGATCTTGTCGTTTTCAGAGGAGAATCAACAAAAAAATATATAACGGGATCTCGAGTCTCGCAAAAATCTGTATATTACGCTGTAGAAGGGGAGTGGAATAGTAAAGAGAAAAACGGAAGAGTAAGTATGCCTGAATAATCGAAAAGAAAAAGGATTAAACTAAAATTCAAGAACGATTTCGAAAGTCTTAAAAGTAACTAATACCATATATAAATAATTGGTGACGGAAAAAATGTCACATATAACACGTTCGCGTAAGAACACCATTTTTTTTCGCGATCGTCGATTACAACTCGAACCGAACTGCTGCGCACTCTCTTCACCTTTTTCGCTTTCCCATTTTTGACTATCTAAGACTATAGACAGGTGTGCCTAGCTTAGACGGGCTTACGAGCTATTTATTGTCGTTATTGTTGTAGGAGACATTTGTAGCTATCTCTGTTTAACCGGTTCACGTCAAAACACAAGCTTTATTAAAAGATAATTTAACTACTAATCGAGGATTTTTGGAGGCATAAATTTTATACTCGTTCATTTGCTAAATATTTTTTTTTATATGCAAGACTTAATCTGCTGAATTATCTTATAAATGTTCAAATATATTACAGGTGAAAAAATGAGTACGATTTAACGTGTATTCGATTCCTGTGTATTTTAATTTATTTAAATATACTTTATAAATAAAAACTCGACGAGAAAGAAAACTGAGCAGATATATAGCGTCGCAGGTAACGTATAAAAAAGAAATATAGCAGAAGCAACTCGATCGTAAAGAATATACAAGAGATATAATTTTTTTTACTTTTTTTTTAATAGAACATTATATCGTAATATATTCACGAATTCGAGCGAATATCACCGACAATAACGCGGATTTTTAGCTGGATACCGTTTAATGTGTCCATCAGTCATAACTTATCGATCCAGACGAATTTCTTCGATACGATAAAATTGCAAACTAAAATACATACTCGAACCTTGAAACAATACTAGTCGAACAGAAATTATACAATTAACGAGTTAAAAATTCTCGCGACAATTAAGGCACTCAGTTTCGGATTTCCCTTAAAAATATTCCGTTTAAAACAATAACGGATTGTCGTGCGTTATACGTAAGATTGGCGAGGCGAGTTTTGTTTAAAGAGTGCCAAAATTATCGCAAAAACGATGTCATAGCAATAAAGAAATATTATACAAGAAAAAGTATATCAAATGGCAGATGCGAATGATAGAATGGACATTAACAAAGGACATAGAATAACGAGCAATGACGTACGATTCGTTCCAATGAACGTAACAGATACTCGTAACAAAACGAACAAAACGATCCCTAAAGATTGCCGAATCTTAACCTAAACCGGTCAAGTAGGAATCGCTACAAACATCTCCTACACGTATTCCTTTGTTTTCTCGCTATTTATAAAAATAATTTGAAGCCGCCTTCGGGGAGTGGGAGGGGATAGATACTTCTTAAAAAGCACCCGTTCCGATATCGTTCTCTCGTTCCATTCGTTCGCTCCACTCACTCACTCTTCTCTTTCGACGCTCGCGATAGACATACAGAAATTAGTCTCCGATTGCCTCGTACGCGCGTACAAGAGTTGCTAAAGGAGAATCTAGGATATTATCGCGATTCGTTCGCGTCCGAATCATATACGGCACACAGTGTTCCGCGCCGCGAGGGCGCTCGGTAATAATTCTAAACGGCATCCGTTTCGATTGCTCCGTTCGGCGATTAAACGTCGCCGCGATTCAACGTAAATCGAATTACGTTCGAGGAGCGTGTATCTCGATATGCCTTGTTAATACCCTCACGATTTTCGTCCGTACAACAGAGGTACGATCGATGGGGGAAAAGTTCTATCTGTATGTGCAAGTCCCGCGAAAGTTCAAAAACTATGACAACTTTAAGCCGTATCTACCCCTTAACACAGGATCACACCGCCATATCACCGACAATAACGCGGATTTTTAGCTGGATACCGTTTAATGTGTCCATCAGTCATAACTTATCGATCCAGACGAATTTCTTCGATACGATAAAATTGCAAACTAAAATACATACTCGAACCTTGAAACAATACTAGTCGAACAGAAATTATACAATTAACGAGTTAAAAATTCTCGCGACAATTAAGGCACTCAGTTTCGGATTTCCCTTAAAAATATTCCGTTTAAAACAATAACGGATTGTCGTGCGTTATACGTAAGATTGGCGAGGCGAGTTTTGTTTAAAGAGTGCCAAAATTATCGCAAAAACGATGTCATAGCAATAAAGAAATATTATACAAGAAAAAGTATATCAAATGGCAGATGCGAATGATAGAATGGACATTAACAAAGGACATAGAATAACGAGCAATGACGTACGATTCGTTCCAATGAACGTAACAGATACTCGTAACAAAACGAACAAAACGATCCCTAAAGATTGCCGAATCTTAACCTAAACCGGTCAAGTAGGAATCGCTACAAACATCTCCTACACGTATTCCTTTGTTTTCTCGCTATTTATAAAAATAATTTGAAGCCGCCTTCGGGGAGTGGGAGGGGATAGATACTTCTTAAAAAGCACCCGTTCCGATATCGTTCTCTCGTTCCATTCGTTCGCTCCACTCACTCACTCTTCTCTTTCGACGCTCGCGATAGACATACAGAAATTAGTCTCCGATTGCCTCGTACGCGCGTACAAGAGTTGCTAAAGGAGAATCTAGGATATTATCGCGATTCGTTCGCGTCCGAATCATATACGGCACACAGTGTTCCGCGCCGCGAGGGCGCTCGGTAATAATTCTAAACGGCATCCGTTTCGATTGCTCCGTTCGGCGATTAAACGTCGCCGCGATTCAACGTAAATCGAATTACGTTCGAGGAGCGTGTATCTCGATATGCCTTGTTAATACCCTCACGATTTTCGTCCGTACAACAGAGGTACGATCGATGGGGGAAAAGTTCTATCTGTATGTGCAAGTCCCGCGAAAGTTCAAAAACTATGACAACTTTAAGCCGTATCTACCCCTTAACACAGGATCACACCGCCACTGAGCCGCTGCTACTGTGGCTGCGACGGATTGTGCTGAAGCGGCGGTGGTGGGCCCTGGAATGAAAGATTCTCTGGTCAATAAACGAATCATAAAGTGTTTATTGGTTGAAACGTGGGGACGTTACTTACAGGCATCGCGGAGAAAGGTGGTTGAGAATGCGCGTGGGGATGAGGATGTGGATGAGCTATGTGCGCCGCAAGATGTCCGGGTAATTTAGGACCATCTTCCGCTTTTTCTTCTTCCCTCCTCTTCAAGCATGCTGCCTTTGGATTGAGGTTTCGTTCTGCGAAACAGTATTTTATTAAACTATGTTCTATCGATTGAAAGTAAACGCGGAAGGACAGTATTGCTTACCTCTAACTTGCTGTTCTAGCGTCATGATCACTTCGACCGCCATGTTTAGGATACCGAGCTTCGTTTGAGGCTTGTCCGTTTTGAGGTGGGTCATACACATTCTACCGAGCTCCTTGAGAGCCTCGTTGATGTCTCTGATACGTATCCTGAGAAGACAAAGCTTGGTTACTACGTTACGAACCCAAGAAACAAGTAATTGTCTTTTGGTCGATTATCTGTGGAATAATAGCACCACCGTTCGCAGAAGAGATCCAAAACAAAAGTAAAAGCGCGAGCTTCTTTGTCACAATATACATAGAATACGGGCCAAAACTCCCCCTCGAATCGATTCGTGGGCAGCGAATCGTGAATATTCGCGGCCAATTCACTGCGTACGTTTTCTCGTCTTACCTTTCCCTAGCATTGTTCGCTTGTCTCCTTTCTTTTTCCCTTTGCGCCTTCACGTCGGGATCGTCATCCTCGTCCTCGGCGCTCGAACAACAGTTGCGCAATAACAATACTCGATTAATCACCTGACGTAGGCGATACACTTTGTCCAAGATCGAAACGTGCAATGACTCGACAGCAGTGAAATCGACGTCGCGTCGAGAAAATTACTAGACAAAACCGACAGACGTTAGGGAACGACTGAGACACTAAGAAGAAGCAAAAGAACAAATAGAAGAAGGAGAAGAAGAAGAAGAAGAAAACTCTCTCGTTTGGCTGAACACACGCAGACCTCTATCCGATCGATCGATTTGTGGTTATGTTATGGACGGAAATCGGGTTTTCCACGCTCGAAGGCCCGTATTCTTTGTACAAAGAACAAAAACCGTCGGTAGCAAGAGTTCGTGCTGTTACCTAGAACGCTGATCGTTCGAGTGATCTCTAAGGAACGGTGAATGAATGATTCGGGATATATGTACCGGGACTTACTAAAACAAAAAGGAAGGAAATACTCTTCGAATGGTGATGGATTCTGAAAGAAACGTATTCTCATTATACACAAGAGGAATTCGGTAATAATCTTCGATAAAAGATTATATACGAGAAAACATGACAGCAATCGATTAAAAGAAAGGAACAGACGAGAGTCGAGAGAAGGATGAAATGGAGAATGGATTGAGAAATTCGATGCAAACGATGGTTTTTTGGTGATACAGACAGATGTCTAAGATTGTAAATGTAGCATGCCGATGGGAGCGGATCGCAGCCGAATTAAAATGAAACTGATTGGGAAAGCGAGCACCGGAGTAGCGTCTTTCGACTCGTCTCGCATTAATTTAGTCCTGAACCAGAAACATTTTAATTGTCACGCTAAAATACGGGCCTTGCGATGAAGGGAACGTAAGCATGCCACTCGCTCGTCAACAACTCGAACCGTAATAAATTTTTTGACAAAAGGTTCGTTTTTGACGCGTCTGATCGGGCATGCGTACGGCATAAGGATTCCAAGTCCTGGATTCAGTTGGAAGGAAATATCGAAGGACTCTCGAAAATACAACTGGAGTGCGTACTGCGTGTGTTCACTAACCTTTCACGCACGTTGTTGGCCTGGCGACGTTCCTTTTCGCGCACCGCTTTGGTGCTGGGATCGTCGCAGTCTTCGTCAGCGCTCGAACAACGGTAGTTTAAATAAAATCGGTTAGTCAAAATCTTCACTGAACGGAAACAACGAGAAACATCTCGTTGACGACTGCGATAAGTAACGCGTGTCAAGTTAACACGAGACAGACAAATTCCTGTTCGTCGCAAACGGTAATTCGAGAGGTTTGTCGCTCGATCGACACGCGATTTCACTACTGTCGTTTCACGAACGATGATACACGCTTCGATCCCGGACGGAAGATACATCCAGGATGTACTTACTATCTACGCGATCTCTTCGTCCCTTTTCCCTGCGACGTAGAATTCACCGTGGCTGCACCGATCACGCCTGCTGCCGCCAACTCGCTGCTCGAAGGTTTCGTTTCACCGCCGCTACTATCCGGTGGTTCCTTTCTCTTTTCTAAAGAGACGTATTCTGTTCATTATTAATACTGTCGTTTAACATCAACGCCAAGCATAGGTTCTACTTTGATATCGATCAGCGTTCATGGAATAGAGACTTCTAGCTGGTAGGAAAATTTCTGCTTTCCCCGCTAAGTTACCATCGAACTGAGACAATAAGATCAACGGGAAAAAATGTGGTTGAGTCTGAACCAGAAACTGAATCTCGAGTCCTTCACCGAACACGAGAAACATTATCCTCGCGCTTTGGGCAGACTGATTAGTCACGAAACCATGAAAAGTGTCCAATTACGAGCAGGAAGCATTACGAACTAACTGATTCAAGCATTTCCTTAAACGCTCTCTACTCGGCTGATAATCCGCTACGTTTCGCGACTACACTGACTCGCATTTCCCTAAAAGTCCTCGAGCCACGGTTAGAAAAATCGGTTTCGCGATTGTGTGCAAACGTCCGTGACTCGTTCAGCCTCTCGATGTTCCAGCGAAAGTTTAAACAAACGCGTTTTCCACCGACGAAAGGGAAAAAGAAGAGAGAGAGAAAGCATCAATTATGGAACGACGGTAGGACTCTGTCAACCGAGAAGAATTGTGCGCTCTAAATTCCGATTACCAAAAATGGTCGTCAAAGGGGAAAAAAGCGCATCTTCGCGAAAGGGTCCACGTAAAACTTGCGCATTCCATTAGGCAGCCATCTGAAGAAGCATTACGGGACACTGTGTGACAGAGATGAAAGCAGAGAGGGACAGAGACGCACGCAAAGTCGCGAAGACGGAGGTCTGGAGGAATAATAAAGGCACGACAACGATGCAAGAGAGGTAGGCTACTCGGTCGTGATTTATCTAATATTTCCTTATCGGGCTCTAACTCTGTCGTAGAACACCTGGGAACTCCTCTTTCTTTTTTCCTCTCTCTTTCTCCGTCTTTCTCTGTCTTGTGGCCGTTCATGGGAAAAAGTGTTTACCCGATGATGCGACGCCAAGAATAGAACAACGCCATTCCGATTAACTACTCTGTCAAGGCTCGTTGACACTCGAGTCTTTTATAGTCCAATGTAGTCTTTCCGACTAGTCCTATTCATCGACGATGGTATCGGAAAGTTCGATGATGGATCGTTCGAGCTATACTTAGACCTCGCTAACTAACTCTATTCCATGAATCTTTCGATTGTTCCGCCATTGGATGAAAAATCGCTGTAAACTTACTGGCATTCGTCACAGGTAACTTTTCTATTTTGATGGAGCCGTCTGTGTCGGGCGTAGGCGTGAGACCAGAATAAAAGCCCTGAGGTTGCGCGACTGTTACCGCAGGATGAGGACTCGTCTGCAAGGATCAAAATCATAGTCAACTACTTTTCTTTACCGAACCCTTCGGACATGCGAATCATTGACTTACCAAGTGGTCCAATTGCGGTGGTGATGTGTGGGAGTAAATGGGACCGTGTGGACCAACGGGGCCCAGGTGAAGGCCCAGTTGACTTTCCGCGTGGTTTCTCAGAACGTTTATGGCATCGTCCAGTCGTTCCTCCATCCGCGTTCCCTGTACCAACAGAATACCAGAAATTCGACTCGATTACACAACAATTCCATACAGTTTTTCGGTTCATCGAGTATATCAACGTGAAAGATGCATCTCCTTTGAGTTTACAAAGATGTTTTCTTTGACGCTGGTATACCTATTTAGAAGATCACGTGTACAGCGAAAGAGAGTTCTGTTCGGAAATAGATCTCGTGGAAATTAAGAAACAGAAATGCGTAGACAGGCTCGTAAATAGCAAGATTATTAGTATTGGCAAAGATGGTAGAAACGTTAAAGTAGACTCGGAGTAGTTAAGACTGTTGACGTTAGTAAAAACATAGATATCAGCGACAGTTTGTCCATATGTAGTTCGTATGGAATGAAAGAGCATGCGTAAAAGTGGTTACGAGTGGAATGAGCAGGTGAGAGGGTTTGAACGAGAACAAACGTAAGAGGGCGAGAAAAAAAAACTGAAAATCGGCAATCCTCACCTCGGCATGGTCGCGAAGGAAGCCGATGGCATCGTCTAGCCTCTGCTGTTCAGGCGCCGGCTTCACACACAACACCAACGCAACAACAAAACCAAAAAAAAAGAGAAAACAACCAAGTCAACACAACGTTCACAACAAACAAGGGGCAAAATGGCAAGAGAAAAAAAAAGAATCATGTAAAATGAAGATGAGATGATCGACTCGAGTAACTGAGGGGGAGAATGGAGCAAAGTAACTTGCAACACGAAGAAGCACGCTAAATGGTGAATCGGTGCATCGAGTGCATGCTACTTTGTGCAACGTCCAAGCTGGGATCTTAGAACTCGATCTCCATGATCTCGTTTCTAGATACAAGTGCAAGTTCGATTTTGAACGAACCCGATCCTCCCCCGAGCAGGCCCAAAGTGCGTGTGTAACAAACGGTACTCTCTCAACGAGTCACCATGGTGCAGACGGTCAAAATATCGTAAAAAGAGTGTGAACGAGCATCGGAGTTGGCTCGCTGTCCAACGAGATTCGTCGAGCGGACAAAGTCAGTGCAACCCGTTGGAAGCGTCGAGTCGAACGATCGTTGAGCAAAATCAAAAGGACGAATGAAAAAACTCGTGGCTGCGAAGCGTAGATGCATACCATGTGAATCGTTCCGCGATTAGGATCCGCCGTAAAATGTGGGGACACCGGCGCGGCACCTGGTGCCCAACCTGGCGCCGAACCGGTCAAAGGTGGCGGCGAACTGACCGGCGTCGATGGGTTGCTGCTGTAACTCGATACTGATTGGTCCGTGGGGTAAATCTGCGTGAAAAAGGGGCAAAGTTAGGAGATGCGTTGGACGAGAAATGCTGTAGTTGTACTTGGAATTTTCCAAAGTGGACTCGGACGAAAAAGAAGATACTTACTCTGGTGCTTACTACAGACGCGAGCGTCTTGCCGAGGTTGTCCCCCGTGGGAGGCGGTTGGTTCGTCGTGGGTGCAGGATTAGGCGCGGAGGGTGCGGTGGTCGGTGCTCCAGGACTATGACTATATTGCAACGATGCCGGGGACGGTGCACCGGTACCACTGTTCGCCGCAACCGCACCACTACCCCGGAATGTCGACATCGGTGGCAATGAGGCCGCACTGGTCACCGCCGAGCCCAGAATCGGTGCCGCTGGTTCTCCGTTCGGCGACATGGCCGAATACGCCTGGAATCATCGAAAAATTAACCCTTCGGTAAAGCTGACCGTTTGTCTTCCCTGCGAGAGAGTTTCATGAAATCTTTGGAAAGAATTTGCAACATTGTTCAACTTCGACGACAAAGACGTTAAAAGGGAGAAGGATAAAATACGGCGAAAGACGGCAATATTTTCGTTAGGCTGGTTGTACGAGACGCGAAATGCCTTCCGACTGACTGACGACTCGTACGACCTTTTGAATTCGACTCTGCCCGGTTCATTAATGGACCAGAGTCCAGAACGGCTTTGATATCGGATACGTTTTAGTGGCGCGTAGCCCTCGCTCGCACCTACTGAAGCTTGCTCGTAAAACGTCTAATTTTAAAGCATCGTCTCGTCTCGAACACGGCTAAGAGTATTTATCAACAAATTAGAGGGAGAGAGGTAGCACGCGACCGCGGCCCTCGCTCGACTTCACGACCGAGAAACGCCGTTAATTGTTCGTTTTACGAACGGAAGAACGAAGCGATAACTAACACCGAGAGCGCACCTCTTCTCTTCTGTCGCCGGCTTGTTTTTCGACCGGCCAGCCATCGGAAATCTGGAGAAACACCGAGAAGAACACGCGTCCCAACAAAAGGGAGTTTTCTTCGGCGTCGAGGTGGTGGAGGTGGTATAGCTTTCTTGGAAGAGGGGTCATTAAACCACAGGATCGTAAATGTTTAACCTTTCGACCGGAGGGGTCTCGGCTGGTCTCCGAACGCTTCGACGCTGCGTCTTTTGTAGAACATTCACCTCCATTATGCACAATGCGACCAGCCTCTCCCTACTCACGATCTCCTTTTAAGATGCTCCTTTTCTACCGATCTTGGATTCCATTAAATCGGTACTTTGGATGATCGAGAAAGAACCGCGGTTCAGTTTCTCGTGCAATTTTTTTATTTATTCTGTTTTCTCTCGTGTGATCAATTAGGGACGTCGGAATCAATGGGATTCGACAGCTCCGAAAGGGCCGTCGGTTCGCTGACTCGGGGAACGCGAGAAGAGAATTCACCAGGGTGCCGTGAACCGGAGGATTTCGTGGTAACCATGAACGGTGTAAATCAAACGAAGGCTGCACTTGACTAGAAACACGGAGTAGCGCGGGAGGGTCGTTCTATATATAGAAGCCAGTGAGTCATTTGACGTTGCTCCGAGTACACGAAGCACTGTCAACAGTGTCTCTCAACCATCGTGGCTCCGATCCAGAGCACAGGGTTGACCGGCAACCCTCCTATAAATACTAGCGTAAATCTCGTTTCCGAATTAATTGTGATACGGACGTTGCAAGTACGGATAAAGAAACGGGGTTACGAGAAAGGGTTTAATAATCGATTCGACTGGTTGGCCAACGACAGAATATCGAGGGAGGTTTCTCGTGTCTATTACGAAGTTGCCGGAGCATCGGGACCGAAGAAGCATAGTCACGCGTGATTGATCGTCCCACGACCAACGAGGGTGCGCGTACAGACGAAAAAGAGAAAGAAAGCGGGAATAGAGAGGAGTCGCTTACCATGGGGTCGTGGGGTAGGTGCATAGGGTAAGCTGGTTGTCGACTCTGCCCGGTTCATTAATGGACCAGAGTCCAGAACGGCTTTGATATCGGATACGTTTTAGTGGCGCGTAGCCCTCGCTCGCACCTACTGAAGCTTGCTCGTAAAACGTCTAATTTTAAAGCATCGTCTCGTCTCGAACACGGCTAAGAGTATTTATCAACAAATTAGAGGGAGAGAGGTAGCACGCGACCGCGGCCCTCGCTCGACTTCACGACCGAGAAACGCCGTTAATTGTTCGTTTTACGAACGGAAGAACGAAGCGATAACTAACACCGAGAGCGCACCTCTTCTCTTCTGTCGCCGGCTTGTTTTTCGACCGGCCAGCCATCGGAAATCTGGAGAAACACCGAGAAGAACACGCGTCCCAACAAAAGGGAGTTTTCTTCGGCGTCGAGGTGGTGGAGGTGGTATAGCTTTCTTGGAAGAGGGGTCATTAAACCACAGGATCGTAAATGTTTAACCTTTCGACCGGAGGGGTCTCGGCTGGTCTCCGAACGCTTCGACGCTGCGTCTTTTGTAGAACATTCACCTCCATTATGCACAATGCGACCAGCCTCTCCCTACTCACGATCTCCTTTTAAGATGCTCCTTTTCTACCGATCTTGGATTCCATTAAATCGGTACTTTGGATGATCGAGAAAGAACCGCGGTTCAGTTTCTCGTGCAATTTTTTTATTTATTCTGTTTTCTCTCGTGTGATCAATTAGGGACGTCGGAATCAATGGGATTCGACAGCTCCGAAAGGGCCGTCGGTTCGCTGACTCGGGGAACGCGAGAAGAGAATTCACCAGGGTGCCGTGAACCGGAGGATTTCGTGGTAACCATGAACGGTGTAAATCAAACGAAGGCTGCACTTGACTAGAAACACGGAGTAGCGCGGGAGGGTCGTTCTATATATAGAAGCCAGTGAGTCATTTGACGTTGCTCCGAGTACACGAAGCACTGTCAACAGTGTCTCTCAACCATCGTGGCTCCGATCCAGAGCACAGGGTTGACCGGCAACCCTCCTATAAATACTAGCGTAAATCTCGTTTCCGAATTAATTGTGATACGGACGTTGCAAGTACGGATAAAGAAACGGGGTTACGAGAAAGGGTTTAATAATCGATTCGACTGGTTGGCCAACGACAGAATATCGAGGGAGGTTTCTCGTGTCTATTACGAAGTTGCCGGAGCATCGGGACCGAAGAAGCATAGTCACGCGTGATTGATCGTCCCACGACCAACGAGGGTGCGCGTACAGACGAAAAAGAGAAAGAAAGCGGGAATAGAGAGGAGTCGCTTACCATGGGGTCGTGGGGTAGGTGCATAGGGTAAGCTGGTTGGGCCAGGTGAGGGGGCGCGTATCCGCTGTAAGGGGGCTGAACGCCGCCACCGCCTCCTGTCCATGGATCACCGGGACCCGTTCCTGTGGCGTTCCCATCTAAAACACACGGAAAAGGATCGATTAGTGTTCAGTATTCGCTTCACCTTCGTGTTCGAGTTCACCCTTTTATGACCGAAAGAGCGTGATCTCGGAATCACGAGAGTTTGAGGATGAAATAGCACGTGGCGTTCAGTGACCATACATTAACAACGTTCTCGCGTTAAAAGACGCACAGGAGTTTCACCTTCGCAGTGTTATTTAGGATCGACCTAAGAACATGTCGTTAAATTCCTCAAATACGATCGAGACTTCGGAGTTGAACCACGTAATTACGTTGTATCGAATAGAAAGTTGGCTGGAGCCAGGCCAGCGATACCATTGATTCGCTCGAGACACCCGGTATGTAGTAAGAGGGCAGTAGACGATGCGAGCTATTATTTCAGTTGAAAACAACAGCAATAAGCCTCTGGGAGCGCTATTTCTTGATACTTTTGTTTGATATAATTCCACGGCCAGAGGTTTCCACGACGAACGAACCGAAACTAAGCCAAACTACTCGTCCGTTTCTACCAACTACCGGCATTCGATGTCTGATAAAACTTTTTCGCCCATCCTACCTCTTCTACCATTTATAAGGTATTCCGCTCGCTTACCGAGTGTCACGAGCCGAGAATGTATTCGAAAAGCTGGCCAACCACTCTCCTTGCCCTCTGATCTTTAATAACAACTTTACCCGAAAAGTTTGCCGATTTTATTGATTTACCGCTCCGGTAATCCATCCGGAAAAACTTTCGGACGCGTTTCCTAGACTTTCCGCTACGATCTCCGCGAAACATTCTTACGAGCATCTTTCTTTCTTCAGAATGTTAATTTAACGCTAATTCCCGGGAAAAAGTACGACGTAGGGAAGCGTTACTGTCATCGATTCGACGGAAGTTAATCGTCAACAATAATTCGAAACGCGTCGAACTTGAGTTTATTCCCTCTATTACTCTCGGGAGTTTCGAAAACATGTAAATTTATCGACGCGGTTTCAAAAGCATCCTGCGCCGCGAACAAAACAGAACATCGCAAATATAGCGAGAGAAGCGAAATAGCATCGCGACGTCGGTTTCGCAAACGCGATTAAATTATATCGGCATAAAATAGGAACACGGCGAGCCACGATATAAACTTTATAGTGCAACGGGAAACGCGTCGACGCGGCTTTTCCGCGCTCATTTTTTCTCCCTCTTTTTTTTTTTTTAGGATACGCGAGTGTGTGTCGCGAATTTCAGTGGGCAACTACGATGCGCCGGCGTCGCCGCCGCTCGAACAAATAACGAGAGATTGTTATTGTTTTTACGCGCGACAGGCAGAGCGGCGAATTTTACGAGCAAGCGTTAAACAGTTGAATATTACTGCGATCGTAAAGTCCCTTTTATCGTTCGTTCGAATCGTTACGCGATTTCCACCAGATATAGATGCGCACACGCGGGATCGACGTTCACGAACGTGTTACCAATACGCCGGTTGAGCCTCGTCGTTGATCGTTAGACGGCGATCGATCGATCCATAAGAACTGGCTCGATGTTACTTTTAGTTGCGTCCGGTAACGAGCGGCCTAGATTTTCGACTTACGATACTAGTTTAAAGAGAACACGGTTAATGCTGGTCGAATGCCCGCTCCTTTTTCTTCGTAACCGTTTTTCTTGCTGCCTCCCTCTTTTTTTATTCGATCGTACGCTTTTATACCTACAATTCGTATGTCATTAACGGTTACTACCTGTTCCCTCGATCCTGATTTATTTTTCTCTTTAATTCTTTCGCTACGGAAACACGCCGTAACGAAAGAGTTAATGACCACGGCCGTTTTTCGCGAACAGTTATTATTCTTACGATATCGTTGACTTACCGATATAATAGGGGTCTGCGTAGAGGGTCGCAGCTTTGGGGGAGGTGTATCTAGGGGAGTCCTGGCCGAATTCGTCCGAGCCGTACTGTAACAGAGAAAACATCGATATCGTTAATAGCGAGAAACGTTATAAATCCCGTACGAGATTACGGGAAATGTCTTGGAATGAATCATAAACTATCGACACGCGCGCTTCGCATTTGCATAATGTAAGTTGCAGTAAGGAGGCACCTGTTTTAACCGCAATCTCGATCTCGAAGCGCGGGATAGACGATAAGAAAATACTTAATAATAATCGTCACGCCTCGTTACTCTCCAACACACGCTGTCACGGTTGTTCACGAGTGAACGTCGTGCAGCGAAACGTTACTCGGAACAATTCGAAGGTAAATAGAAAATGGTTCAACGAGTGGTGGCCGTCGTTCTTACCATTTTATAGGTGCCGTAGTCAGCAGGACAGACAAACATATCGGCCAAACACGGAAACCTTGAGAAAGAAGAAAGTCAGATCGCGTCGTGGGATGAGGCGAGTATAGCGGAGCATGAAACCGGCGATCCAACAGAAGGGGTGAACACGGGGGTGGAAAGTGGCACGGAAGGGGAGATTCGCGGTAGCATACCCTCGTTCCAATTTCACCGTGATATATGTTAAAATATTCCACACCGCTTCCCTTATCCTCTCGACGAGAGTCTCTCCCGCCTCTGCTCAGCCGCAAACTTTTGTCCCTGCTCCTCCTCTCCTCTCCTCTCTTCATCGACCCCCTCCCCCTCTCCCCCTCTACTTTGCCACTACCACCTTCCTCCACCTGCTGCCAGCGAGCAACGACGAAAAGTGCCTCGAAACGAGCGGGACACGGCCAAGTTTCGACTAACGCGAGGATTATGGCCAGCAAGCTCGAATTTAACGGCTTCGAGGGACCATGAAAGAATCCCGGCAACTTACGCTTTTCCGAAACTTTCCTAACTTTTCGCCGAATCGGCCTTTGTGTACACGCACGTTTAGTGCTCCTGATTTTTCATCGTGAATCGGCTCGAATCGCCATGCTTGATTCGGGTTAAAGGTAAACGACAAAGAGCCGACATAGACCGGACGAAAGACGACACGAGACTGCGAGCGGGCTGGTCGCGTGTCACCGCGCCGATTGACCGGCCACAGAGTGGGGCCAACGGGAACCAATAGGGGAACGGTGTGACAGCGAGAATTCAAGATACCCTCGGATACGTCTTTCCAGATACCGTGAATCTTGTCTAGCGAATTAAAATAATGTTTTCATTGTAATCAGCGGGAATATTACTCGCTTTATGAAGCTATCACGGGATGGAGAGTTTCGTGAAGAGCAAAATGTCCTAGGCTACAAAGCGAATCGATCTTCGATTCAAATTGGGAGAACGCGCGGTAGAAATGATGGCACGGCACAAAATCTGAGTCCTAAGAACAAAAGATGTTCGAGAGCGTTCACGACGCATCCGTCGAACGAGGGAGGAACGGGACACATAATTGTACGCGATAAAAGCATCGAGTTTATCGTGGCAGCAGTCGATAACGGATGTACAAATACGAACGGCCGAACAGAGGGAGAGAGAGAGAGAGGAACATTTAAAAAGCTGCTACTAATCGCGCGATAAACGCTGCGGCCTCTGGACCTATTAATTTAAATGAATTGCTTTGACATCGATGTGGCTTCGTCGATGCACATACGTTCGTTCTTTCTCTCTCTATCCTTTGTGTAGCTTTGATTTCGCTTCTGAATTTTCGTTCGAGATACTAAATTCGTATAATTAACGGGATGATCCCCACAGAAGAGAGTCGGCAATGGTATCGTAAAAAATACGAAAAATTAATTTTATAATCGAACGTTTCTTTTTGCGAACCGATCGACAGAATCGATAAACGAGCGCGCAAAACCGAATCAAAACGAGAGAGGACACCGCATGGCCAATAATTCACATTTTATTTCGCCGCCATGGGGGTCGAGGTAGGGACACGCAATAATAAAAATGTCCGGTGTCCGGCAAGCCGCCGATCAGAAATCTTAATATGTCCTGGTGGGATGTCTACGGTGGCGAGAGTCAGCGATTTCCAGCCAATATAAATGTCCTACATTGATTTAGTTCTCTCGTACCTCTCGCCTTACGGCCAACGACCAAACGGAGGGAAAAGGAGTGGAAACGTAATGGAAACGTCTCTGTCAGGGAAATTAGCTTCCGAAGGTTTGAAATAGGACAGAAGGGTCGCCTATCGCTACGATCCAGAGAGCTACGCGTGTTACGTGACGCCTCCGGAAAATTGAGCACGTGATGTCCGTCTCACGTTCTCGTACCGGCTGTTTTATCGTGTTTTGTCCTTTCAAAAATTATTCCCTACTTTTTGCGTTACCGTCACTCTTACTCCGTCGACTTTTACATCGTACAACGTTCTTTAATAATCGCGGAATAATTTTACCGAGAAAATTCACGGGGTAATTCGTGAAACGTGACGAAGATTACTCGTTTCGAGGGACGAAAGAAAAAAACGATGAGGGAAGAAAATACGGCTAAGAGAAAGGCGAAAAATATTCAAGACGATAATCGATGAACATCTCTTCGAGGTCGGTCTTCGTTATCGACTACACGTGGGCGGAAATGAGTTTAAGAGCAGAGGGGAGGACTGTGAGAGCCGGAGAGTCACCGCTCCGGGTATAATGGATCGTCGATTATCCCCTTATTAATTACTACACCGAAAGAGAGACTATTGCCGATGTCGAGGAGCGAACCAGACGAAACCAGGTGTCTTCTTGGTCCCGTGAGAATTCCTCCGACATCGACTGCACTCTTGTACACGTTTTACTACTTAATTTCTACCTGCATGCAATTATAACCGAGAAAATAATTCCCCTATGCGGAACGACTTTAAAATTTTCGAGCCACTCGTTAAACGAGCATTTATCTCTCCTTATCGTTTTTATAATCTTTTAGAAACTTTGATCAACCCCTAATTGTATCGCGTGTCATAAAAGCAAGATTATTTCCTAAGTCGTTAATCGCGATCGATAGATAATCCGCGCGATAACGTACCGTTTTATCGGTTTAATTAAATTTATTGAAACGTTGGACGAATTTTATGGATTTACTTTCTCCGTGGAAAATCGTACGAGGAGTTACGTCGACGAAATCGTCGTTTCTTTCCATCAGGCCGCGTAACGAACTAATGCACGGCAATTTGTAAAACGACTAGAAACAACGATCTTTCAGCTAAACGACCGCCGTATCACGGGCAAAAATCACATAATTTCTAACGAGCCCCGATGCACGCACCCCTATGAAACTGTTTGCCTTTACGCAAATTACTCGCGTCACGCAGACCTGAAACCTTAGCGCTGTTCTCGATCGTAAACTGTCCCTGAATAATCGTGTATCGAAGCGATAAAAACGAATTTCACGCGCACAAAGCCCAAGAATGTGGGAACGCGAGACGAAGAATCGTTGGAAGCGACAGAACGTCATGGTAATTCCAGTATTTTTCTTTTTCAGAATTTATGTTTCTTCGACTCGTGTAAGACGAGGTCCCGATGGGTTCCCATGGCGGAGGGAACGGTCGGCCATAAAGGAAATACCCGTAGATGGAATAGGCATGTTCTGACACAGGACGACTTCCGGTTGTGTGCCATTTCGAACGACCGCGACGAATAGAAATTGAAACAGCCTTCCTCCTCCTCCTTTACTTCCCTTCTATTCCGTTCGAACATCCTTTAGCATAATTGTAGGAAAGAAAAGGAACGATTAAACCGTTGACGAGACGTTAACCGGACGTTAACGAGACGTTAACGAGACAGAATTCGAACGATCGAACTTTAGTCCCCTTGGCAGTTCGGTATCTGCGTCCGCGGCTTCGATTTCGCGGAATCGGTTTTATCGTATCGTAGAAAGAAACAACGATGCAAACCGTAAAGAGCGGAGGCGGCCAAGGGAGGAGGGGCAAAGTTTTGCAAAACACGAGATACGATGCCACCTAATATTTGAGATTTCATTAGTGGACGTTATTCCATCCGACATCCGATCGTTTGTTTTGCTGACGCGCGGTAACAACGTTCACGAATCGCGTTTCTTATTTTACACCTCCGATACGCGCATCGAACGAGAACAGCTCTCGCGTAATTGCGCCAAAGCTCGCGGTAAAATTGCGAGCGCGTACGCGGTGGCGGATGACTAAACTTGGCTTCCAAGTAAATTTCCCCGAGTCCGTGGTTAAACAAAGAAGCCGTGTCGACGGTGATACGGTAGTGCAAACACGAGTCTGGAGACCTGGAATTCATCGCGATGAGTAAATCTTGGTGGTGGTGGCGAAAGAGAGAGAGAGAAAGTCGGGGGGAACAGGAGGATCGAAAGCTTCTCGTTTTAATTGGCACCCCTCTCCCCCCTAATTGGTAATTATCAGGCGTACCCACTCGTGGAAACCTGACGTAAGAGGCTTAAGGCCGTTTACACGGGATGGAGGATCCGGTGGCAACGGTACCAATACAACCGTCTGCGTAAGGTGTACGTCGGTTTACAACGTTCAAACACACAGCGCAGGTGTGCATATGTAATTCCGAATGAGTGCCTCGGCTAGCAGACCAGCACGTGAAAAGAGACTAGAGATCCACCGCGTCTACATTATTTATTAGGCGTACCGTCATCGCGTATATAGCGAGAGCCAAGACAAACGGCTGCATAATCAACAATTAGTCGGCTGATACGAACTACGTGATCGGTTTTTAACGAGGAACGCGTTCCAGCCTCCATTAACACGCGTCTTCTCGCTTCGTGCTCCCACCAGCGCTGAAAAACCGACGATTTCGTCACGATACAGTTCGAATTTTTCCAAGTTACGAGGCTATTCGGTTAGGCTATTCCGAGGACTGATCCTGAGGTACCTGTTTCGGAGCTTACGATCGCGCCAAGTTCGATCGATCGAGTTCGAGCAGAAACTATTTATATCGAAATACAAGGCTCGCTGTACTAAATCCGCCAAAATGATAGGAAATCTCGATCGCGTTACGTCAGGGTGCGTAACGAGCTTCTACTTTATAGACTAGCCGGAATACAGTGGAGTAGGAAACGCGTAATCTATGGTAGACCGTAGGCAACGGTGTCTACGGAGAATGTAGGTTAGAACGCGACAGACGGTTCAGCTAGCTCGAAGCGATGGAAATTTCGTTCGGATGCTAAATCAGTGGCTCGCTTGGCACGAAAACACGATATCCACCATCGCGCGACTCGTGTTCCGGTCGAATCAATTTCGCAGTAAATCTCCTGACGCGAACTTAAAAACGGCCCGCGGTTTTTCCCCCTCGCTAATAAAAACAAGTAGCGAGACGTAAACGCGAGAGAGTTTCTTTCTCGGGTTCCAGCATTGACTCACTGGATCAGAATGCGAGCGAGACCCGTGCGAAGTCAGCGTTCCCGCAAAAGCGAGGACACCTACTCTCGATCGAGCCGAGATTCGACTCACCCGGTAGAATCGAAATTGAACGCGGTGGTTTCTTTTCTCGAAGGGTCGACTCATTCTTCGAGAATGTGATTTAAGTCTGCATAAAAGACGACGACCGCGCAGAATTACAAGAGGCATGCAGTTCCGCTCGTCGATATACGCCGAAGAACTTTCCTCTCTTGTCACCGCGCGCGGAATACCGAACGATCGCTTATCGTGTTCTAGCTCGAACCGGGAGCCGTTCTTTTCACGAATCTCGAAGCGTTTCCCTCGAAAATAAAGCGATTTCTTCCAGACACGACTCTTCTTGACCACCTTCCTTCCATTCTCTACCTTGTAACCCTAATACTCTTCCACACACCTTTTTACCTCCATCCAAGAATCGACAATTCACGAGCTATTCACGAGAGGCTCTCGGTTTAGCTGCATAGAGCATAGTTCGACGATATTTGTTCGCGTTTAACGCGCAATTAAGCTTCGTTCGTTCCGAGCAAGAAATCGCGGTTGGATGAAGGCAATTCTCGCGACACAAGGATCATTGGGCGCAAACACACTGCCACGTTACGTCGTAAGAAGATACTTTTCTGTCATTTCGAGCGGACAGAGAACACGGGTAGCCTACATTTTTCACCGAAGTAGCGCGTTTTTCCACGCTGCTTCGCGGAAAAAGGTTTCGTAATTGTAACCGCGGTAACGAAGCGTTCGTATTTATTCGAACGAAGCATCCACCTTTTAACTTTTTCGCGAACGATTGTTGACTATTGCGAATTGTAGCAAAAGATTTCCTATAAGAGTTACATATACTCCAATGAAAATTCTTGTAAAAACGTTAAATACTCCAATTGCAAATTCGACCGTGAAAATCTCGAAATGGACTGATAGGAAGAAACGATTTAACGAGATATTAAAGTTTCCATTTGGAACAGCGCAAACAGAAGATAGAAAGGCAAGAGACAGGCAAGACTGTATCCGTGTGGGACGTGCACCACACCCGATCCGGAATATTTTATTCTTTTTTCTCTTCGTCTCGAAGTTATTACCGCAATCGTCGAGTGTCGAGACTCGTTTCAACCCTCGCGTGATTAGCCGAACACTCAACGACACTCGAACTTTAACTTCGGTTATTTTTACGCCGTACCTTTCAAACACCCGTAATTATACGGTCGACGCGTTTCAGAAGCCTCTAATTTTTTCCCAGAATCCGTTCACGACGCAGTCTTAACGTTCGTGGAATCAGCGACCAATAAATCCGTCGTTATTTTCCGATTCGATTTACGGGAAAAATCGAGACGAAGAAAACAATCTGACTATAAATCTGCTTGGCGGCGGGACAAGAAGCAGAAGAATCAAAGGCATCTCTAACGACCCGGTCAACTAATTAATATAATTGTCCACGAACGGTTTCTTGTTTACTTTCTTCGAGAGATACACTTTTAAAAGTCTCGATGGCTAATTCCGACAGATCACTTGAATACCGTGATTCAAGAATTAAATTCCATCGAGCTTTTTTTTTCGAACGGTAGTAAACGATACCACCTCCCTGTGCACGCGTGTGCTTTTCGTATGCAACTGTGACTGCTGCCTAATACGTGCCACCGCGGCACATACTAATTAGCTGTGCGAGCGAAACGCGTCGTGAATACGACTCCACGTGGAGGGACAAACATTAGATACGAGCCGCACCACTTGAGGTTAGGTCGAGGCTAAAGCTTCGATTCGAGAGCCACTTCCTGCTACGAATCGCTGCTGAATTGTTTTATAATCGATCCATAGTTATATACAAATAATAGGCTAAAAATATTGCTCCGTTCCAACGAGGATTCTATGCTCGTCAACCCTCGAGGTTGTTCGATATAATAAAACAGTGGAGGGTGTTTTTAAAGATAATTCGTGATCGAAAAATTGCAATTCGAATTGTCGAAAGCAGGCGCAGCATGTTGGACGAGCTAAATTAACCGAGCCTGAAAGATTCCGAAATCGAAGAAGCGTCTATTAAGGTAACCGGACGTTACAGTTGTCTGCAAATAAACGAGGGGCAAGTGCAGAGTAGAAACGTGGTATGCGCAGCGTGCAATAAAAGCTTGGAGTCGGCGCAAAGTCACGTACAGGTACTAAACCGGTCCCTATACACAGTCTGGAACTAATCGACCGATCTTGGTCTCCACGAGGCTTTCCTACGAACCGTAAAACTGTCATATCTGTCTGAACGCGAATACGAAATTCGCACGAGTTTACGACACGTGTACAGAAAGCGCAAACAATGCGAATCAAAGCTGAGGATTGCGGAAATCCTGCTGCTTAACCCTTCGCCTTATCGACTCTCGTAGAAGAAATCGAGTAGGATTTTACCCCGCTCTCCTGTCCTCCGTACTGATTCCAGTATCCAGGGGATGGTGCCGACGAAACGATCGGCTGTAACATCGAACCGGCCGAGCTGCTCGGGCTGGACACTCGAAATCGATCCACGGTTACGTTCTGCAATTGTCCCATCGACTGCGACTGATTCGGACTGTCGCGAAGCTGAACGTTACACGTCAACGCGGAACCGTCCGAGGTTAACTGAGAACGATTACAAACGACCAGCTGCAAAGGACTCGATCCGTTGGTCCCCGGAGCGACGTGTCTTCCGGGTCCGATTTGCATCTGTCGCGTCTTCTGCACGCTCGCGATTTGAGAGTACCTAGCCTTCGAGTGTTCACACGCGTGGATGGACTTTGTCTCGATGCCGAAGTCGCTCAGCTTGAAGTTCTGTTGATTCATCTTAAAGTCCGCGTTGTTCTTGAAACTTCGGTCCATGTCCGCTGCCGTTTCGCCAGTCGAGTATTCCACGAAATCGGGTCAACGGGATGATCTGCTCTGTATCAAGTCCGCGATTCGTGCATCTTCGATCTTAAGAACGTAAGTTGCAGCTCGCCCGGAAACGATGGTCGCATCCTGGTCGTTGATCGCCTCCGATATGATCGGAGGAGCGAGCTTGACGGTCGAACGATCGTTCGTCGCCTTGACACGAATTCGACATCGTTGATCCTCCTCGGTGAATTCGATCCTTCAGCGAGAGTGAGGTCAGCGAAATGCTCGAACAATATCGGGAACTACTAGATTTTTCTTTTTCTGTTCGCCACGAATCTACCTCGTTACGCGGTTAAACTCGTAACGACTTCATTAATCAGCAGAGTCCCCGAAACCGCGCGTCTTTTCGGACTCCTCTAATTCAAATTCTTCGAATCGTCGGAGTCTTTCGTCGAAGAGGAGCGAGATTACGCTCCGGGCCAACAGACTATTTTTGAACAATGCGTCCGCGCACTGCCGCGTTTCTCGCTTTTCCCGCACGAGACTTTCACGCGTGTTTAAAAAACACTCGCTGCCTTCGATCTTTCCGGTCGCTGTTTTTACCGAAATCGAAACGATCGTACGAGTTGGACGCGTGGAGGAAAACAATCGTGGATTGCGCGACGCGACCAGCTGCTGGTCAGCCAGTGGAGAGACGACTGGGTCTGTTACTCGTAAGCTATACGGAGAGGCTGGGGTCCAGCATAACCCCTCCACGATTGCGAACGCGTTTCTAGACGCGGCCCTCTCTCGTGCTCCTCGCTTCTACGCTCTACTCGTCGTCCCGTTTCCTCGCGTCCGTTGCACCGCTACGCTGACCACGCCGCTCGCGGTTTCTCGAACTTCGCGGAACGTCGATCGCGCGCTTTTCTCCGCGATCGTCGAA